TGGCAGCTTAAAGGTCAGCTCCCCTGGCCCCCGGGCGTTTGTAACCATCAGCCCAAGCCAGTAGGGTCCAGTTATGCTCCTGGCCCCAAGGCATTGCTAAAGAGTTTAAAGGAAGGCTGTAAGCAGCCATAAAACTGCTCAAAGCTCACATCCCATCCAAAATCCAGTGATGCTGCAGCTCTCTCTCCTGTTGCCAAGGACTGATTTTATCTAAAGCAAAGGGGAAATTGCCCTGTTTGCTTTGGCTGGTGACACTTGTGCCTGTAAATGCTTTTCTCAGAAAAACCCACCAAGCACATGCTGAAACCCCACCGGTGGCCTCTTTCTGCCTCATAGCACAGGCTCTTGCACAGTTTATTCCCCAAGTACTTACTTTTAGGGTTAATTTCTGAGCAGGGGAAAGCACTCATGCTCCCAACGAACTACGCTGTTAATCAAACACAGTTTTTCTCTGGGTTTACACACGCATAATGAAGGCTGTACCCAAGCCAAACCTGGAACAGAAATGATTTCAAGAACCTCCCCCTTGTTTGCCCAGTCCCAGAGTGTTGACTTGTCTTGCTGGTGACCTGTTAGAGAAGTTAAAACTTCCTGTACCGTGAGGAGAAAAGGGGGCTCAGTGCAGCCCTTCCCTGGCAGCAGCAGCAGCCTGCCGCTCTCCGGGCAGCCAGCTGTGCCATGAGCTCTGCTGGAAGGCTGCGCTGCCTGTCCTAGGCGGAACAGAGCATTGCAGCTGATGGTACCCTTCTTCCTGCACCTAAGCATGCACGTTTCAGTGAGATACTGAACACTTCAGAGCAGTGTTTTGGGAAGACCATGACAGTGCCAGAGCCCTGCTAGGCCAGGGGCTGCGCTCCCAAAACACGCCAGAGCTGTCAGGGCTGGCTTCACTGAGGGTGGCATCTTTGGGGGGGCATAGAAAAGCAGGCCAGAAGACACACCTCTGTAAGTGGCGGGCGCTGAGGGAGGAAGGGTGTTCCCTGGCACCCCTCCTCTCTCTCCAGGGGCTGCTCCCAGTGCTCTGTGTCACCGAAACAGCCCTTTTGGCAGCGGGGCGGCACGTTAGGCCAAATACACACTGCAGCAGCAGCTCTGCTGCCAGGCCGGGCACTGCTCATCAGGAAACTCCTTGCCGCCACAGGAAGATGAGCTGGAGGAGCTCGGTGCTGCCGGCCCTGTGCCCAAGGGACAAGGAGCAGCTGTCACACCGCTCTTGGGCATGTTGCTGGGGGTGCTTGGCTACCACCCTGAACCCCTCTTCCCTCCTAAGCCCCCAAGTTCACTGTTCCATGCTCTTCAAGAACATTTCCCCACTTTATGCACCTGCCTATCCCAAACATTACATTCTTGCCTACCGCCATACTGCAAGACACTGGGTGGGCAACCCCCTGTCCATTGGCCGCGTATCAGAACCTGCCATTGCTGCCTGCTGAGGGGATGATTTTGAGGCAGAAGCCAAAGAGCCTTCCACTTCTGCTTGTGACAACCTCTGCACTGAACTCCAGTTGGGTTTTAAGTGTCCTACAAAAGCAGAAAGTGTGCCTTAAAGGGACTCCAAAACAATACGTATGGAATAGGATCTCATGGAGGGAGAGAGGTAAATGTGAAAGATTACATGGATATATGTCTGTGTGGCCAGAGAACTGCAGATTAAAAACCTGCAAAATAACAGCTTATAAAACTTCCTCCTGCCAGGAGGTGACCTTAAATATTCACTATTTTATTTGTTACCATGAATTTACTCATGTTTATTTACTTCAGCCTACAACATTCTGTGCCTTTGGTGTGCGCTATTCTTTCGTCTGTCTTTTGTCCTCCCGTGCTGCCTATACTTCACTCTGTGCTGTCTGCTGTCCTGCCAAATGAGGAAGTCGAAGAGACAAGACGGCAGAGCTGGTATTTCCAATAGTGTGGTCCTAATTAAACCAAATCTCCCTGTAATTATCTCAAATTAATGTGTTTTTTTTTAATGTTATGCTTACAACATTGTGAGTTAAAGCTGTTATATCATATTGTTGTATGTATATGTTTTATAGACATGTATTGTTATATGGAACAACATGCAAATCACTCCAGGGACATCAGATTCTTATCACTGCCATCTACATCTTATGAGATTTATTGGGAAATGTGAATTGAGCAAAGTAGGTAGCTGTTACCAAATCCCCACTTATTTCAGATCTATTATGACCAGAAATACTTCCAGGAAATCATATGCTGGGGCCATATACACACCTATGTATCACATATAGGGTATATGATACAGGGAATGTGATTTTAACCAATTTTTCTCACCGCCAGCATAGCAAAATGTAAATAGGCAACTTGTTTTGCTGCTCTGCTCCTTACATCATTGCCAAACACTGGCAAAGAAAGGGTCCAGGAGTCAGTGCTTAGCTGGCAATTTTGCTGATAATGCAGGAGGCAGAGCAGCCTGCTAATTCACACCCACAGGGCCTCTGCTGACAAACAAAAATGGGCTTTTGTCATTGTCAATAAATGCATTAGAAACTGCTCTGGAGATAACACAAGCCCCAGTAGCCCTGTTACATCATGCAAAGAAGGGGAGTGCCAGGGCCTTCCAGCAGCCAGCTGCAGGAGATGTGAAGAAGGACCTGCCTCCTGCCTGTAATGCTGCTCCTCTCCCATCAATGAAACAATGAAATGATGAAACAGTCAGCAGGCTGTGAACCAACAGAGCTGTTTCCAATGAACTTCTGAGAAACAAGAAACAGGTATTTTCTCACCACTTGCTGAACTCCTTGCTGGTTTCTTGAGCTGCACGGTTGCCTGGGACTCCTGTGTCTGCACCTCTGGGGGCTCCTAGTAATTCAGACTTTATTTCCCAGAGCTGGGAAGCCTGGTAATGCTTCACAGGAACAGAGCTTATAGCTCCCTGCAGCACAGAAGGATACCATCTCACACCAAGTCAGGGTTTCCATGCCCATGCCACGAGGAGCCTGGATGTGTTGAAGAGGACTTGGATAACACAAAAAAAAAGTAAATTCCTGGGGAATAAAAAGGAAGTTGACAGGAACAACAAACCCTAAGCAAACCTAAACCCCAGGATTTCCATTCAGGTCTCACACTATCCAAACTTCATTTTGAAACTGGACATCTGCTTTGTGGTCTGTGAGGTGTGAAACTCACCACCGGTCCTCCCACTCCTGGGAAAGGAGAGTGCTTGGGCTTTGTAACTCTCCATCATTTCCTCTCATTTGCAGGAACTGAAGGTTTTCCTGCAGATTTTTTATGAGAAAACGTACTCCCTCAAGGCTGGCTTCACCGTACTGAGGGCACAAAATTCATCCTTTTATCCAGGTCCTTATCTCTCCTCTGATGTTTATAAGAGCTATTTGCTGATGATTTCCAAGGTGTCATAGTAACAGGTGTTGCTTCTCCTAATGTATGCCAGGCTGAAATTGCCTGTATGAGGTCCAGAGACAGGGCAGAGCAAGAGACATTCTACTTCAGCTGTAGCTTTGTCGGCAAGTTTGTTCCTGGAGTTTTCTCCGTATCACTATTGTACTCTCTTCTTTTGGGTAGACCTTTCCTTCCAGCACCCAGGGCAAGACTGTACATCCAACTTGGCAGGTCATTTAACGCTGCTGGAGGGAGTGAAATCTATTCTGCACATTCCAAGTGTTTTTTGTACATGGTGACAAGCCCCAGCCCTCATCTCCTTAGCCATGCTGAGCTGTTTGGATGCCTCATCAACACTGAGCACTGCAGCTCAAAGAAACCCAGTCTCCAGGGCTCATATTCAGGGTGTGACATTGAGGGGCTTTGTGCAGAACTGAAGATACCTGTCTCAGACAGACATACTACCCAGCCCCCAGAGGGACAAGGCACATGCTTACAAGCTTCTTCTGAAGTGCTTTCATTGCTGTTTCTGGTTGATTACCTGTGGTTAAGAGTCTGCTTAGTTATAAACACTATCTTGAATCCTCATTAACAACCATATCAGATACCTACAAGTTCCTCTGGAGCTCTGGTTTAGCATCAGACATGGTGGAGGTGTGAGCAAAGGAACACCAGCTGAGAAGGGTGGCAGACCCCGAGCTGAGAGCAGAGAAGGTGTCCCATAGCCCCAGGGTACTTGAGGAAAGGCACTAAATACACCTCATTTCTTTTGCCTGCAGTACGTTAAAGGAGTGAATGATATGGGGAACAAAAGAGAAGACAACATAAGGAAAGATGAGGGGCTTGGGGGGAGAAAAGCCTTCATTGTCAACACTGAGGCTTGGTGCCTATAGCAGGGGGTTATGAGATGCCTTCTGATGGCAAATATATTCTGGCATGATGTATCACTCTATTTTCCCTACCATTACTTGATTACCAGACCACCTTGTTGCTTCAGTGCATTAAAAGCATCTGCCAGCAAGGCTGCAGTGCTGTGCCTCCAGCAGAAACACAGAAGCAGGCAGAAATCCTCACCGTGTTCAGCATGGTGCCTTTTTTGGTCCATCAGAACCATGGCTGATCAGCCTCTCACATCTTTCTTTTTGGTTGTCTGCTTTTGCCATGTTTGCTGCTGTCAGAGCAAGTTCTGCACTCAGCCACTCACATCCAGATGTCATGAAAGCAGGTCAGCACTGTGCAGAGACACCTGAGTGCAGAACACATCCTATTTTATTAGCTGACTTCCATCTCCAGCACTACTTCAGTCAGCCTCATCAGATTTTCAGTAGGGGAAGGTCTGGGCACTCCTTTCACTGCTTTGGTTTTAATTAAAAACATAGTTTTAACTCCACTCCTTATTTTGGATAGCTTTAATGGAGCTAAATATGTATTTATTCCTTTAATTTTTTTTTATGTATATATGACTTTTTATCTTCTAATTACTCATCAAGGCTTGAAAAATTACAGATTTCCTAAGGTCCATGTTTCAGATGGAGGGCTCAATTCCAGTTTGCTATAGGGGATTAAACATAAAGCAAAGATAAAAGAGGAAATGCAGTCCTCTGTGTTTGACACAGAAGCCAACCATGCTGTGTTTCAAGGTGCGTTTCAGGCAGAGCCATGCAGACTGATTTTGAAAGGAAAAGTCAGCTGAGAGAATTCTGTACTAACTGCAGCAATGATCTCTCTCGGTCTGCCTTAAGGGAACTTTATCAGAAAAACAGAAACATCCTCAGTATTCCTAGCACAAACCAGGCGGGGATCCAAAAATACTTCACCTCTGAGTAACTGGGGAAATGAGCTTTTCTCGTGTGCGTTCTACTCCAGTGAGTCACCAGGCGGCTCAGCCCCCGGCATAAGGCATCCTTGCACAGCAACCAGTCAGCAGCAATGCTCAGCCAAGCATATGCCATCACAGTTCACAGGCTGCAAGTGAACTGAAGATGTACTTCACTACAGGCATGAAATGCATATTTCATTATGTCCACTATGGGGATGTGATGTGCATAAAATCTGAGAGATTGATTTTCTATTAAAGCATGGTAAATGCTGGTTTTCCTTAATGTTCCACCAGCATTGCATCAACTAGCATGTTCAAAACAAAGCCCTCTTCATGTCAGTTTATGGTGGTTTGTGCCAAATGTCCAGCAGACCCCTTCTGTAAGGTACGCAAGTGCCTTTTTCCTGTCTGGAAAGAAAATCCCAGGAAAATGTTCACAGGAGGCTCTGCTCCCTCTCACACTGTGGATGTGCTCTCACACCCACCATCTCAGGAGAACAGAGCGTATTTATTCTCACTACTGTGTTAAGGAAGTGATGCTGATTACTTAACAAATCCCATGGCAATACATACCTTTCAGCTCAAAAGGCACAGCTTGATTATAAAATGGAGCCAAGAGTAGAGGCAGACCTGCTTCCCTTGCTTCTCCCCAGGAGTCAGTGGCTCCCATCACCCCAACCCAGCAGCCCTTTGCCTCCCCTCTGGGCAGATTCAACTCACTGAACCAGCACTATCGAAGGCAATGAGAAAAAAAAACTGAACAGTTCTCTGTTTCCAGCTGTGGGAGTCACAATGTCCTGGCAAAGGCTTCATAGAACATAACAGTGGGCTCAAGGAAGGAGTGGCTGTGGGTGACAGATGCAGTGGCAGAAAGCAGGAGCATGGTGAGGATATATCATTGCAGCTGCATTGCTAAGCCACTGCTCTGTTCCCCACTCATACCCATGAGCAGCAGCAGCCCAGAGTGGGCACTGCTCTCACCGGTGAGCATGGAGCAGACACAGATGTGCCAAGCCCTAGCTGTGGGGCAACATGACTTGGCTCCCAATCTGCTTTGTAGTGACCCAGGACCCTGAAAACATTCCTGAATCATCACCAATTATTCATGTGTCATTTCTGATGTGGTAGCAAGCAGCTCATGGAGACAAGTTGTTCTGACAGTCAGATAGATACCTTGTCATTCCTCATCTAGAGGAGAAGGCATTCACTTTTCAGGAGATATTACATGGAGTCTCTGACAATTCCTGCTTATCAGCCACCATCTTGAGATCTGATCCAAACCACCCAGATGTCAGTGTTGAGACCTGCTGACTCCAGGCACACTGGGACCTTTTATAAACACCAATTTAATGCAGGTCTTTACACGTAATATATCCTTTATAAAACAAAGACATGGGCGTACCTGTTTACTTTGTGGTGTACATTTTTGCAATGAATTAAAATACCAAACTAGATTTTAAGGTCTAAGCTAAAGTTATGCACAGAAGGTATGCTCAGTGGGTGCAGGAAGTGCCATGTTGCTTTTGGTGAACATGAGAGAATGGAAAATGACTCTTCTCCCACATTTGCTCAAGCATTTTTAAATTAATGAACAAAATATTTTGCATCATGGTTAATTACAGATATGGTAATGTGTCTTTCATTGTCCCAGAGCAGGAACAGTGAGATAAGAAACCAGAATTACAATACAATAGAGCTAAATTCTGAACCCTGCTGTAACTATGGCAACCTTCATTCACAGTATTTAACTGGGACTACAGGAAAACAGTGCACTCAGCAAGCCTGAAAAAAACTTCCTACGTCACTGGCTTACAAATTCAAAGACTTTTACAAAAATTGGACTTGCTAAGAATTTCCTGTTTGCAGAAATCATTTGACATTGCCTCTGCATTCCCTGATCATGTCGAGTACAGGGACAAGTTTTTCCAGAGTGCTCAGGTGTTAAGGGAAATAAATACATTTCAAGATGACAGGCAAAGGAAAAAATAAGAGGTGAAATCCAAAATTAAGCTTTAACATAAATTCTAATACAGTGTCCTGTAATTGTGCAGTCACTGCTAAAAGCTGGCACTGTCAGCAAGAGTATCTTAGTTTTCCTGGATTGCACAAAATCAGAAGGTGGCACTGCCACAGATTCTTCTCTCCCTTCAATGTATGTTCTTCCCTCCCACCTTCGCTGGCGTCAGCAGCCTCAGCTGTGTTGTCACGGTCCCCCGTGCTACCCATACGTAAGCTCGAATAAGGAGTACTGTGGTATTAACAGAACACAAAACAGAAGGAATGGATCAATACAGTGACATTTCCTCTCCATACCCAGATCCTCTGATATTCTGGGCTGTCAGGGAGGCGCCTCAGTCACTGACTGCTCCCTGGCATGTGGCACAAGCCTGTCATTCCACTCTGCTTCATACAGCATTTTTGTCTATTCTTCTGGTGCTGTAGACTGTAGCTGACAAAGGATAAAGCAAAAGGAAGAGAAAAATAATTCAAGCATTAAAACCAAACCTTTCCTCTTTATATATTTGATGTAGCTGCCTGGCATGAGGCAGGTAGTAAATGAGCTTTCACTTTTTGACTATTACTGACCAGAAGAAGTAGAGTACTTCAGCTACTGTATCTACTTCAACATTCACTATACCAATGCGCTATATGGAAGCAACCACACTTGACAAGCTTTTAACCTAATCCTCAGCCACACAAGACTGGTTAGTGGCTTAAGAATGAAGGAATTTGTAGTTCACAGGGATGGGCAGACTTCTGGCAGGACTCTTACCACTGAAGCTCTAACGAGGTCAGGGACATATGGCTTCAAAACACCATACTACACCTGACAGTTTGGCCTTGCTAGTAAGGCCGAACAGGCTTGGACATGCTCACAAAACATCAGGTAGAGGTGGCTAGGTGCCTGGCAGGCATACTAAACCCCTGAAAACATGAGAGTCTGGCACTGTGAGTGCTCTAAAGATTGCCTTAAGGAATGATCCTGGAAATGGTACAGCATGGAAGAGACACCAGTCATGCTGTAGTCCCTTTTCCCTTAGTTAAATTTTCTTTGTTTCATATACACAGCCCCTGTCCACAAGAGGGATCGTTACTGGTTGCAGGCATGCAGAGAGGCATTTGAGACCCAGAAGCCTGTCTGTTCTCATAGGTCATCTGTATTTGAAACCAGCCCACTTTTTTTTTTTCTTTTGAGGAAGACCTGGCAGCAAAGCAACATTTTAAACTTTCCTTTCCTGACGCTACTCGCATGTTTGGGAGGGAGCCTTGCTGCAGTTAGCATTACAGCCTAGGCACTGTGCAGCAGGTCCCATGCCTTTGAGCACAAGCTGGGCACGGGGCGTGCACTTCTTGTGCACATGGGAGCCTTAATATATCGCAGTCTGGAAGCAGTTCAGAGTCGTCAATGATGCAGAATTGCTAATCAGAACTTCGCACAGCTGAAGGACACAACACAATGACCTTTACTACAGCTCTGGGAATTCTGTAGCAGCCTAAAATGACTTCATAGAGCTGCTCTCCCTGGTCAAGTAGGAGAAAACTCTTTGCCACCACTGGTGGTGGGGACACCATGCCTCTGAACAAAGCACCTTTTTTATACGTACTTTTCTGAGAGAGGGGAGGAATTATCTCTGATTCAACAGAGCTTTCAGATACACTTTCCAGATTACTACAATGGTTTCATTCAGTTATGCAGGCCTCAAATTAAAAGTTAATGAAAACTAACACACTTCTCATTTCTCCTGAGGCACATCTGCTCTCTCATTTGGATGTCTGAGAAAAGCAAGTCAGAAGAAAATTCCTCTTTGACAAAGGGACTCAGAGAACTGCCTGGCAGCACATTCCTGCATCACCACCGTCGCTGTCATTTTGAATCAGTCCTGCTCGTTTTCCAGCTGCATGTTATAGCCACTTCCCGCATGGAAACACGTGTGCAAGTAAAGCATCATTAGCTCCAGTGGGCACCTTTTGCTTTCTCAGGAAATTATTAAATGGTGTCCCCAAAAACTTGACAACTGGAGAGTAGTAGAAATTACAGACTCATGTTTGGCACAGAGTGTAGTATTTGCAGCTGTACTGACTGCCTGCCAGGAGCCATTTGCCTACAGAACATGCTGTCTTCCAGTTGCTTGACCTGAGGTAGCTCAGGAGGATGAGAGCAGTGCTACAGAAGTGACCAGACTTTCTCCTTGCAGATTCCTCTTGCCTGGCTTTACAGCTCTCCTCTGGAGGAAAGGAGGCTTGCCAGTTTCCAGGTGATAGCAGATTCAATTGGTGGTTTCCAGATTAACCCGAGACACTGCTTTTCGACTCTGGGTAAAGCATCCTTTCATTATTAGCATGCAAGAAATACATAAACCTTTGAATCTTATATATTTTACCCACAAATGCAAAACCACAAATCTCACATCTTTAAACCCTTACAGCTTCATAGCCCCTGCTCTCTTTATTCCAGCTGTTTTTTATAGCCATTTCTTTTCGACCCTAGCAATCGCCTCAAGTTGTGATGCTGGTACTTGGTTTACTGAAGTAGATGTGAGCATTATTCTTTACACAATTCCTTTGTTTAAAAAGACATGTACAAAGTTCTTGCTTTTTCTGAACAGAGCAAAGAGCAGGCAGGCAAACAGCAAGAGCCCACCTGTACTCACATTCAAGCCTTCTCTATGAAGATCTTTGCCGCAGTGTTCTCCTTCCTTTCAGTGTCATGTCCCTGAACTCATTTTGATGTGCCCTTTTCATTTCTATGCTTCATTTTTTATGGCTTTTTTTCTTCTCTTACATGCAGTTGTGTGAATCCAAAACTTGGGGTTTAACCACTTTCTGTCTATATTATTTATTAGTACACTGTATTACCAGCCTGTATGGGACGCACTATTACTTAATTTTGTGATTCTGGTGCAATATTCTGGGAGGTGGATTGTGCTGGTTTGGTTTTCAGTAATCAGACATTTAGTGGCTTCCTCATTCCAAACCAATTTTATGTGTTTTTTTTTTCTCATCCTGTAACTTTCTCTTACTATTTCCGACCAGAATTGATGGGATCACAGACTGATCACATTTTGCTGCATGGAAATGGGAGGGAATTACAACCACACATGCAGGATTTTGCAAATGGTGAAAATGATGATGGGATAGCTACACACGCTGACCGAAAGCACAAAAATCACTCCCAGGGTGTGGCGCTGCATTCCCTCCTGCTCCCACCAGCCCTGCTGCAGCGCCCTTCCCATCTGCCAGAGACTGCTGCTCTGGCTCTGAGTGCTGTGCGGAGCCATGCCCTCAACTAAAGGAAGGAAGACAGAAGCAAGAAAGAACTTCCTATAAATGAGGGTACAGCTGGATGGCTTAAACCATACAGGCAACAAAGTGAACAGAAACATATGGACCTGCCCTAGGGACTCCACAGTTACCTGTTCTTTTAGCTGAATGTCATTGGTATGATTGAGCCTGATTATGCAAAAGTGTAATGAGACATTACAACTGGGTTGTCCACTGGGTGGATCAAAGCACTCAAGTATGCACTTCAACCGTGAATCTAATGTTTTCCATTGGGAACAAATGGTAAGGGAGATTAATTGCTGTGAGTGCTGAAAAGGAATGAGCATGAAGATTGCGCTTGTGATGACAGTATTTGTGAAGACATTTTTTTGAGGACTGAAAGTAAATCATTCATTGTCTTGTGTGAATGTATAATTATATCAGCATCATACACAAACGAAACAGGAATATTGTGTGCTACTGCTGTTTGCAAAGGAAACTGAAATAGTGACTTGGAAGTCAACCAGTCTTTGGTAACCAAAGCTGTAATTTAAAACATAAATGTCTTTCTGAGCTTATCTATTCTAAGCTGGATAGAGCCCAGCATGTTTCAGTTTTTAAATAACTCATTCCCATGACCTTTGCAACTCACTACCTTACACAACAGTGCAAAAAAGAGCCTCATACACATGACTCAGGCTGCCTTGGGGTTGGTGAAATTGAAGAACGAAGCCTACATAACATGATCACTAGCAAAAGGAAAATAAAAGACTGATTATATAACACCCAGCCAAATTGAGCAAACCTCTGCAGTTATACAAAACTGTGGGCTGCAGAGACACATCCGAAGTTCAACAAAGTTTTAAAGAAACAGCCTGATGTGGCTGGTGTTCCGTCCCAGTGTTTAGCATTAATGATCATAGAAAAAAAATAATCCTTTCTCTCAAAATACTGCTCTAAAACACTGAGCTTGCAGTGTGGATGTAGTCCAGGATATTTGAAACACACTGAATAAAAAGATTGTGAGGAAGGCGTAAATTGCCTGGGCTGCTAAGCTGCAAACCCAAAATCATCCACAGGAAATACATGCTGTGAGCTCCTAACAACACGCAGGGAAGCAGTCTCCTTACACTTACTGAATGGCTTCCTGATGATCCCAGGTCTTTCTGGAGATTCCTCAGAGGCACAGCCCATCTGTGGAGAAACCTGGGAAATTCTACCCCCTCCCTGGCCTGTCCATCAGGATATCATTGATCTGTGCAACTGAGTATGTGTGTTATTCGGAATTGCAAGCTATATCCAGCCCTGGGATGGGATCCAGAGCCAGGGAAGGCAGCCAGGGGCCAGTCCAGGGCAAAATTAGACTGGGGATCCCTAAACGACCTTTTATAAAACTCCACAGGGCAAGAAGGGCACCCTGAAAGCAGGCATGCTGGAAATGGTCATAGTCCGGCCTTCTCTTTTGATTGAAAGGAGCACATCTTTGTTCTGCTGAGACAACAGGATCTCTCAGAAGGAAGGGTCTACCTCCAGTTCTTCAATACCATAAACAAAGCTCCAGCTTCTCTTGTAAGACATAGTGTTGCTTCTTCTGCTGGTTCCTACCTTACTGTGTAATACCGTAATGGGTAAAACTTAGTCCCTGGAACTGTAATTTTCACCTTCAGCCCCCACTGTCTGTTTTTCCAGGCGAGTATGATCACTGTCCAGCTGCAGGTCATTGTCCTGGGTTTAGCAATAGCAGTCAATTTTTCTCCTTCTTGGTAGCTGGTGCAGTGCTGTGTTTTGACTTCCAGCCTGGGAACAGTGCTGATAATACCAATGTTTTCAGTTGTTGCTAAGTAATGTTTACCCTGACCAAGGACTTTGTGAGCCTCATGCTCTGCCAGGGAAGAGGGGAAGCCGGGAGGAAGCAGAGACAGGACACCTGACACAAGGTAGCCAGAGGTATTCCATACCACAGCACATCATGCCCGGGGTGGGGGGTAACTGGGAGTTACCCAGAAGGACACAGGGTCTTCTGGGTCAGACTCGTTTCTTGGCAGGTGGTATCATATCCTCTTCCCTTGTTATTTTCTCTTATCATTGTTGTAGTTGATAGTAGTGGTGGTGATTTGTGTTGTACATTGGTTGCTGGACTGTTCTTGTCTCAACCCATGGGAGTTGCACTCTTTCAATTCTCCTCTCCATCCCTCCGGGAGTGGGGAAGGGGAGAGCCCCCGGGGGGGAGCGGGAAGGGGGGGGGGGGGGGGGGATGCGGGCCTCGATTGCTTCCAGCCCAGCACCACTCACTGGGAGTGAGTGAACAAGCTGTCTGGCTAGGTTTAAACCATGACACTCATGCAGAAATCCACTGCTCCTTCTCTTAGAGGCAGCAACTGGCACTCTGTAACCTGCTCAGGGCGCCTACCTGCAAGAACAGAATCATTTAGCCCAAAGATTTCAGATCTTCTTAAGTTATTATATTAGTTACTTATTAGCTAGATGACATTCTCTCCTATTTGTCTGTGGCTAGACCCAAGCTATCTCCTTTCCAAGCCACTGAGAAAGTATTTTTCTTGTTTTGAGAGGCACACTGTCTAGGGATGGGCAGACAAACCAGAGTGAAGGTGAGAGAAAACGACAAATACATTTTTGTTTTGTTGTTTAAAAATATAAAGGTACAGTATAAAGCAAACAGTAAATATTTATGTAGGTGGGTTCACTTGGGATAATAACTCTATTTATTAACCAAGGGAAACAGTGACTTAATTCATCTGTCTTCTACAGAACAAAATAACTAATGCTTGTATTTTTTCATCAAATACAAATTTCAAACCATCGGGGTCTTACTTTCCCAGAATTTAGGCATCAGTGAACTGCAGGAAAGCAAAGAGGAGCAAGAAGGAGGTCACCTCTGGTATCTTTCTGAACTTCATTGTCATAAGGAAATGCAGCCTGATCTAACCCCTGGCCTCAAGACATCCAATTGACTGGTTCAGAGTCTGCTCTTAGTTCTAAATCTAAATTTCTGTCTTCTCTAACTACTTTCCACTCCAAAGTACACCCGCATGCTAGGAAGATAACACCAGTACTTCTACTCACTGGCACTGGCTGGTTTTCCTCACTGCTGAAGAAATCATTATTCTTTGACACTGCCATTTACCTAGCAAGATCACAGCTCACACCAGCCAGCTGTGTGTACAGACCATTCGCTGACTTCCCATCTCCTGACTGGTGACCTGAAGTAAAGACAAAAGGCTGTATCCAGTTACCAGTCTCTGAACAATCCTTTATTTTAGAAGTATCACGTATCATAAAATGAAACCAAGATACCACTGTTTCAGCAACGTTAGGTAAATAATACACTGTCTGTTGTAAGCTATTCTCTGTCTGGAAAAATACAGGCAGATTCCCCTTCCCTCCCAGCTTTAATCTCCACTAGTTCCCCTGCAGTCTCCTGAATTGTTCGTACACTGCAAATGTAGCTACTTTTTTAAATGACTGTAACAAATAAAGCTGAAAAATGCACACTATGAACTAGGGCTGGAAAAGGGATCAACCCCTTCAGAGCCAAGTTAAGTGCTGGAGCCAACCTCCTGATATCCTGAAACGGCCTCCTCATAGCACAGACACTGAAAATGGCATAAAACAGCCTTCTTGAGGCTTGCAAAAAAAAAAAAAATTTCCAGTTACATTTTCCTACAGAATTCCCATTATTTCATCAAATTGTCCGAATGCTGTATTCCTCAAACTGGGTACCAAACCCTGAAAGACTAACCCAGGTGAAGGATGCAAGCTAGTGCACTATTCTACCTGATGCAAAAAATTCAGTTAGTTCTCTGCTAATGAGATTGAGGAATATAACAGGATGGTCTTGAGGGACAAGAGGCAATAGGTAGAAGCTGAGCAAAGAAAATTCTGATTAACTACAACAAAAAAAATCTTCACAAATAAAGTGTTGAAGCACTGGAATTGAGGCCCAGGCAGGCTGGGGCACCTCAGTCCTCAGAGATGGCCAGAACAGGCTGGCCAAGTCCCTGAATAGCCTGACTTACCTTTGAAGTTGTCCCTGCTTTGGGCAGCAACTGGGGCTCTGTGACCTCCAGAGGTCCCATCCAGCCTCAAGATTCTAGGAAGCTGGATCCCAGCTGCTGGATGAAGCCAGACCCACTCACTGCTGCACTTCAGAAGGGAACTGAGAGTGATGATGCAATGGGCCTCCAGGGGGGTCAAAATAAATACAGCTATCTCTAGGTCCCACAGTGTCAGCAAAATACCCACTGAAAGCAATTGTCTCCGATTCCCCACTAGCCTCCCATTTAGAAAGGGCAGGGAGAGCCGAGCCATGTGCCTCAGTGCTGCTGGTTTGCTCTAAGGTTGATACTCTTAAGAGATGTTTTTAAAAAATCACCTTTTACAAGGTTCATTGTAAAGCCTCAGAAACATTCACTGTGCCTGGGAACCTGGCTGTGTTAGAGGAGGCCATACACATCACTCACAGCAAACACTCCCTGAGAGGGCCACAGAGTGCCTGAACATACAACCAAAACCACCCTTTGAAGCAGACCAAAGATCACAGGCCATTCCTTTTTGCACGTGCTGTCTGCTTTGAGCTCTGCTGACACATGTATTTTCACCATGTGATGTTCCTGATTTCTGCTAAATTACTGCATTTTACATTGCTGTCACTGCTCCTGTTATGCTTTTGGGAGAGGAAAGATAGCATAGTCTTGTCTTGTTCTTCCTGTTTATTCAGTACATGGCATGGTTTGCTCCCTTATTTTCCCCTTTGTTAGGCTTTTCTTTCCTCTTTCAAAACTTGTAGGACTCTTCTGTTTCTTTTCTTTCTGCTCCAGGTTAGTACAGCAGCATGCCATGTGGAAGTGATTGATCTGTGCATACAGTTCTGAGACAGGTTTTATGAGTGACTGCTCTTTTCAACAGGCACAGGAGCAAAATGGCATTTCTCAAACACTGTGTGCAAAGACACTGTAAAGAATGTTAAGGAGTCAGGGGGATACAACATAATTTGAAGTATTACCCTGTGATCCTGAACCTGCTTTCAGTAAAACTGAATCAGTAACATATTTATATCTTAGACACAAGATCTTATTTAATCTAGGAGGTTATTATGAACGATTTAAAATAAAAATGGATTTTAATGATCTGTAATGGAAATGTGTGTAGCCAGCTTCAGGGTAACTACTGCAGCACTTTGCCTGCAGTGGTAATGCACAGCTGCCTATCAATTCTGCAGTGCACAATCACCCACAGTTGGCAACAGGCACAGCAGACAAGAATTGATGTCTTTTGTTACAGTCAGATGGTAATGCTGCTGTCCAAGGAAGCGAGAGACTTCCCATTCCTTGAAGAGGTTACAAGTAATTGCTTTTCCATCAGTCCTTGATGTAAGATGTTAAATGTGGAACCTCGTGTTTTTATTCACTAGAATAATTCTTACTCTTTACAATCAGCAACACTGGACTGTTGCTCCAAGTGCACAGAAAAGTCTTGGCAGCAGCACGATGAAGAAAAGGAAAACCTAACTTTCCAGTCTGATTGCAACATCCAACTTCTGGCACACCAGCAAACTCACGCCAGCTTGAAGAGCAAAATGTCAGCCAAGTTTCAGTACTTTGTCTTGCATTTGTGGGATTTATATGTGGCTGCTGAGGCCGAATTCTCTTCTCACTCAGGCTTTTAAAATTCAAAGTCTGTCTTTTGTTCACAGAGATAGGTGGTATCAACAGGACACTGTGAGACAGGGAGCCACAGCTTCCAATACCAGCTCTGGAAGTAGCTCCTCTCCTGCCCTTAGGAAGTGAAAGCACTGAACAGAGGAAATAAACTGGGAGGTATAACAGTAACTTTTCAACTTCACAGCACATTATGGGGAATTGAACTAATGGTCATAAGGCGTTTTGAAGATCAAAAGGGCTAAATGCTAATTATTTTGTAGATTTTTTTTTCACCATAGGCAACTCTAGACAGCAACATTCTGTCTGGATAGTCAACCCTTACTTCCAATAAGACACGTGATTGGCAGTGACATCACCCCAATTCATTTCTGTGTATCTACTCATCCAACTACCACTCAAGTACACCCAGGCACAGTCTGTCTTCTCACAGACCATTACCTTCTGATGGGGTAAGAGGATGTCTTAATTGTGCCATCTTACATAGTCTTTAAAAACATTTCTAAACTTGGGTGCTTTACACTCTTGCTGCAAGTAGAAAATTATGTAAATAGTTTTTGTTACAGCACTCTCTGCCAATCTATTTCTAAGCATGTGCTACTGTTAAAAGGGAATGTAAATTATTCATCTTCAGTGCTGTTTAATGAAGTCTTTAATGTACAATGGTGTCTGTCAGATGCTTTCTTTTTCCCTTTTTTATTCTAAAATAAACCTCAAAGAGAAGATGATGGTGTACAGTTCTGGATAAACAAATAAATGTCACAAAAGTCACACAGAACACCACTAAATAATCATTTTAATACCCTGTGCTTTCAACTACTACTGTGGAAGACTTGCATATTAAAGGATGACATAGTTTTATCTTTCTAGCTGGTTTTCACAGATGGGGTCACAGGGCAGTATGTCTACTCTCTTAAGGCCAGGCTGGATGTTGTCCTGGGCAAGCTGATCTAGTTGAAGACATCCCTGCTCATTGCAGGGGGGCTGGACTAGATAAGCTTTGGAGGTCACTTCCAAAACCAAGCTAAATGATTCTATGATATCCTAAGTAGACCTCTTGAGTCTTTCGGGCACTAAGTGCAGATTCTCCTTTGTTTACAATACTGGTTTCAGTATATAGCTATAAACATCCTACCACGTGGATAAAGATGCAAGTATAGTAAAATATCTGTGATTTGTTACAGCTTCTATAGGAATGCTAATTGCAACACTGCACAGGCTAGCCGAACATCTGCTGCCAACAGCACACAGCAAAATGGGCATCCCAGCCACCCTGAAAATATAAAGGCATGAGAGCACATTCATCTATAAGGAGAGAAAGAAGGAAGTCAAATCCTTGTCAAATTTATATACTGTCCATATTAAAAAAAATTACATGAAGAGTAAGGTCGAATCAAAGTATCTCAAAAGTGTATGCAAAATTGAACGTTGCCCTAGAGATGTGCAACAAGGACAGGGTTGTCTCTAACAGAAAGGAGGGAGAGGAGGCTGCTGTTCCTGCAGCACTGGCAGAACGATAGGTGCTGCTCTTCTGGGGAAGGACTGTTCCTTCTTGGTAACCACTGCCCTCAAACCATCTCTTCCTGGCAGCGGCGGCAGCAAATGCAGTTTTCTCAGCAGCACAAGATACAGAGGCCCCTGCACTCCATGCAGCCTGTTCACCTCCAGGGATCTTGGTGCAGACTAAACATCGGGGAGCAAATCTAAAACAAACCAAATGCTGCAGTACAGGCTTCAGAGCTCTCTTGCACAGTTGCACAGTTGACGTGCTTCGCGGCTGTTAAAGGCACTTCTGAGCATTTCAAGGGGAAAAAACCCAACACGTTTCCCATTCTTTAAAATGAATTCCAAGTCGATAATACACCCTACAGAAGTTTTTAGACACGTTCCCAGTTTTAGTCTTAGCAACAGGTACAAGTTAAATGACTCCTACTGCAGTCAGAGGAGCGGGGGGCAGGCTGCTGCCAGGTTGGCTCTGCAAGCACCACGGGACGTGCTCCCCCTTCGAGCCTTCCCCACACGGGATGGGCTTTCCCTTCGGTTTTTCTGCTTGGCGCCAGCGGGACTGCGCTCCTCCGGTTTTATCTGCGAATCGCCACCTCTACCATTCGCCTAGCGCCCCGTGAGGCAGGCGGCTGCCGCAGGGCTGCCTTGCCCCGCTGCGCCTCGCCCACTCTCCCAGAGGCGGCTCCCGCACACCAGGGTAGCTTCGCTCGGCTCCCGGGGCAATGAGGCCTGAGGGGCTGCGGGCGCCCCGCTCACAGGCACCGAGTGGACCTGCGCCGTCACCACCGCGTTGGCGCCCTCCCACCCCTGCGCAATGCTCGCGCACGCCTTCCCCCACATCCCTCAACCGCCGCCGAGCCTCCGTGTCACGTGCTCTCCTTGCCCTCCCCAGCAGCCAATGGGCGGTGCCCCGCGGGCGGCAGGGCCTTTATAAGGCTCCGCGCAGGGCGGCAGCCGCGGGTGAGAGGTGGTTGTGGCGGTAGTTGAGGGGGAGGCGGGTGTGTGAGGGAGTCTAGAGGCTGCTCGGTAACTCGAGACACTTCCCTGTTCCGCCCGGGCCCCGGGGCCAAGCCGTCCGGGAAGGGGCCAGGTCTGTGCCCGCGCGGCCTGGGGCGGAGGAAGGGAGGAGGGGGTCGTGCCGGAGGCGGGCAGGCGGTTGGGAAGGGGAGGCCATGTCGGGGACGCGCGACGCCTGAGGGGGTAGCAGTCCCCATCGCGGCGGCTCCGGGCACCGGCGGCGGGAGCGGCCCTTCGCTCCTGCCGGAAGGGCTGGGGGCTTGGCGCTCCGCGGAGCCGCGGGAGCGGGCGCTGGCTGCGGGGCTCTGCGTGGGCTGCTCCGGGCTTGCCGCTGGGAAGCTGGGTCGCTCCCGTCGGGCAGCGGCAGCTCCGGTCGCCTTCAGAATTGCGGCTTGCGTTGTGTGCGTGTCTCCTCTCTTGTCGTTCCCCCTCCGTGTCGGAGCTCTTCGTCTCCTCTAACAAACTCTGTCTTGCTTCTTCCCCGCCCCCCACCCCGGGCTTCTGCTTTGTGGATGTTGGCGGCTTCTTGTTGTGACAGGAGAATGTGTGTGTGTCCTGGGCCCAGGCGGATCGGTATGTATCTCCACCGGTACTCGCAGGAGCGCTGGGGTCGGATGGGACCTGGGGAAGGGACTACCGGACCAGGCTGTGTCCTAGGGCTCAGAGCTGGCTGGAGGGAAGATTTAACGGTTCTGCTTGTGTTGAATGTTTCTTGCTCCTCCTCCCCCACACGTTAGTTGATTCAGGTCTGTCAAGTGTGTGAAAGGCACCCGGGATAAGCGTTTTGACCTGGAGCCATGGGTGTCTTCTGGCACAGTTAGGCAGGTGTTTGGGAATACCTTTTAGCGCAGCATTGGTTGGCCTTAATAGTACAGTTAAAACAAACCTTTATTAGAAAAAAGGGTAATAAATGCTGCAAACCCCATAAATTGACCATTGACTCAGTATTGTCCATATTAAATTTGTAGCCTGAAAAGTAGCATTTGTACCCTGTCCTGGGCTTGGAGAGGTATTTTAACACTGTCTTGGTTCTAATTTCTTTAAATTGTGGTTTGATTGTAAAATTTTCTGCTTAATCTCTTTTTGTAAGAAATAAGAGATATTAAAGTAATAATTTAAGAACCATCTGGAGTGTCTTAGTTATATTTGAGGTATCTATGTTGTGGATGTAAGTGGGAGAGATTTCAATAATTTCAGGCTGCAGAGCTTTGAACTTCTCAATCAACTAGGATTTATTAAATCTGATACATGAGACAGGCTGATACCTTAAGACGACATGGATCTACCGTAAATGATACTGGCTGTGGAAAATTTGAAGCCAACTTCTTACTACTTGTTCGATTTCATGTAATTGATAAACTAATGGTTAAAAATCAGCAAAACATCCTCAGGTGGCACTGCAGAGCCACTTTCAGAGCAGTGCATTTGTATTTTTGCTTCATCATGGATCAACAACATAACTGTCAGAACAGTTGTTGTGGCACCATGTGTCCATTCAGTTGGAGACTTATGGGAGACTAGTGCTGAATCTGAAGTGTGGGCACATCCATAGAACTTTGAGGTTCCGTAAGCAAAACTGCTGCTTTTAGAAGTCCTGTGAAGACATACACAGAACACCTACCAAAATAGCTCCCTTTGTAACTGAAAAGCAATGGGGTAGATTAAAAAAAAATCTGTATTTGGAGTTGCAGGTTTTTTGCTGTCATGCAGTATGTGTGTGAAGCCTAGGCTGGAGAAACAGACTTTCTGGGAAGCAGATGGCTTACAAATTCAGTATGCATCTGGAAGTTCAAGCCAATACACTGCTGCAGTTTCTGGGCATCGGCTGTGGTCCACAGGACTACAGCTAGAGCTCTTCCTGGTACTTGAACAGCAGAAAACTGGTTAGTTCATTCTTCATAGCTGTCAGTACAAGGCCTGGGAGAGGTCAATGCATAAGAATTTAAATGCTAAGTAAAGACAGGCTGTTTTTAATACTAGGGTATGTGTACACCATGGTGCCATACAAACTGGAAGTTTTACATGTGGAAGGGGGAAAAAAGAAACAAAACCTGCTACGGACTTGTGATTGCCTAAAGAATATCTGCTGTCTGTCACCCTACTGCTTGCTTTTTGTGGTCTAAGCAGTTGTATGTCATCTCAAATTTCTTTCTTGAATCATGCTGTTAGATACTTTATCTCTTCAACCTTATAGAGTTTTCCTCCCTGTGTGCCAGCTTTGTCAGCTGGGAAATCACCAGAAAACAAATCTCCATAAAATTCTTGTAAAAGGTGGCAAAACCATAGAGTGTTCCATGCTAAGTGTTGTCTTAAGTTCTATTTGAAGCTGCTTTCTCTGGATGATGTTTTCACTTCCTGCCAGCTGAGTGGGTATAATCATTAAAGTATGTATGCTGAACTGAAGTATGGTATAGTGTTTTGTTACAGCCCAATGCAGTATCTATAAAAAAGCACCTCTTAATACCTTCTCATTCTCAAGACCCATGAAACTGAACTCTATATAGTAAGCAACTTTGTTAGAGACTGTAAATGTCTTAATACAGGGCTCTGGGGAAAAAATTGTTAGCTGTCCCCCTAAGCATAGTTGTTCTCTTGTCTTTCAGCAATTCCAGTCCGAAGCTCCAGGCTGCCATTGTTGTCTGATGCCATGCCAGCACCAGCTCATCTGTTTCCATTGATCCGTAACTGTGAGATGAGCAGAATAGGCAGTACTGTGTGTTACTGCCACCATAAACATCTGTGTTGTTTATCATCTCATTTTGCTCACAGTCACTTCAGATATGCACCTCAGAAGAAATTTGCAGCACTTTATAGGCCAAAGGAGAACTTTAATCACTTTATTCATGCAAAGGATTATGCTTCCACACCACAGAGATTTTACCTCACTCCTCCACAGGTCAACAGCATTCTGAAGGCAAATGAGTACAGTTTCAAAGTCCCAGAATTTGATGGTAAAAATGTAAGTTCTGTTCTTGGTTTTGATAGCAACCAGTTGCCTGCTAATGCTCCAATAGAAGACAGGAGGAGTGCTGCCACTTGTTTACAAACAAGAGGGATGCTTCTGGGCGTATTTGATGGCCATGCAGGGTGTGCCTGTGCTCAAGCTGTCAGTGAAAGACTGTTTTATTACATTGCTGTCTCTTTGTTACCTCATGAGACTTTACTTGAAATAGAAGATGCTGTGGAAAGTGGCAGAGCTCTGTTGCCCATTTTACAGTGGCACAAGCATCCCAATGATTACTTTAGCAAAGAAGCTTCCAAGCTTTACTTCAATAGTCTAAGAACTTACTGGCAGGAGCTGATTGATCTCAACAGTGGAGAGACTACTGATGTGAAAGAAGCTTTAATTAATGCTTTTAAGAGGCTTGATAATGATATTTCTTTGGAAGCTCAAGTAGGAGATTCAAATTCTTTTCTCAACTACCTAGTACTGCGAGTAGCATTTTCTGGTGCAACTGCCTGCGTGGCCCATGTGGATGGTGTTGACTTGCATATTGCAAACACAGGTGACAGTAGGGCAATGCTTGGGGTTCAGGAAGAAGATGGATCTTGGTCTGCAGTTAATTTGTCCTATGACCACAATGCACAAAACAAAAATGAAGTAGAGCGTGTGAAAATGGAACATCCAAAATCTGAAGAGAAAAATCTTGTGAAACAGGATCGTCTCTTAGGTCTCCTGATGCCTTTCAGAGCTTTTGGTGATGTGAAGTTTAAATGGAGCATTGAACTACAGAAGAGAGTAATAGAATCAGGCCCAGATCAGCTGAATGAAAATGAATATACGAAATTTATTCCTCCAAACTTTCACACTCCTCCATACCTTACAGCTGAGCCAGAAGTCATATATCACAGATTACGGCCACAGGATAAGTTTCTGGTTTTGGCCACAGATGGGCTGTGGGAGACTATGCACAGGCAAGATGTGGCTAGAATTGTTGGGGAGTACCTCACTGGTGTTCACCATCAACAGCCAATAGCTGTTGGTGGCTATAAGGTAACTCTGGGACAAATGCATGGTCTCTTAACAGAAAGGAGAGCGAGAATCTCTTCAGAGTTTGAAGATCAGAATGCAGCGACTCACCTGATACGTCATGCAGTGGGTCACAATGAGTTTGGCACTGTGGATCATGAGCGACTGTCCAAGATGCTGAGTCTGCCAGAAGAGCTGGCTCGAATGTATAGAGATGACATTACAATTATTGTGGTGCAGTTCAACTCGCATGTTACAGGTGCATGTCAAGATGAGGAACTGCGAGTTTAAGCTAGGAACTAGTTACCAAAGTTGTAACAATGGCCAGTATGACCAGCTAATAAAAAACAACCACCCAACAAAAAAACCTCCCAAAACCCTCAGCAAACAAGTTTGTTGCTTGTTAAATTCAGCAAATCTATTGTTTCTGCCTTCCCCTAGAGCTCTAAATACATGGGAAATGCTATTGACCCAATAAAAACTTGAAGATGATGTCACAGCTTGTAAAAAAGTTTTTGTAATAACTTTGCACTATTGATTTCATGAATGCTGCTAGAATAATGTCTTGAATTTGCTAGGCTTGGATGAGGGATGAAAGGAGGATAAAGAATTAACTATCAAAGATCTGGCTGTTCAAGAAAGAAAAGCCTGGTTATACGTATCTGCAAGTATCTACACATAATCTTAAAGAAAAGATGAGTGTTCTTTTTTAAAAAAAGTTATTCTTACAGGGCTAATTCTTGCAAAGTAGATATGGTTATTTGTGAATATGCTGTCTGCTGTTTCTTCTAAGCAAAAGATTACTTTAACCAAGTAGGTCTTCAGTGTAACAAAGTTGTCTCGCAATGTCTTTCACTTAAGGATAATTGTGTAGTGTTGACTTTCAGGTTTAAGCCATAATCAATACCTGAGATTCTGTTAGAGCTTAATTGTATCTTATGCATGGTAGCTTCTAAACTTGTGCAATAATAGTTAGCTGGCTGTCGGCTTCTGCACAAGTTGTAGGGCAATAATACATTACAACATGCAGTAAGATAACAGATAATTCTGTGGAAGTCTCAGTTTGCAATATGAAGGGATTTTCAGGCTTCTCAGAAAGTCAGTGTTGTTGGTCAAGACTGTTGGCTTCCCTACAGTTCATGGCCTTCATGGACTCTGCACTGTCTGGTGTTACTTACCTAGTAATTGAATTTTCATCTGAAAAGATCAGGAAGTCATTGCTAACCTCTGTGGCTTTGTAGTTTGCACTCATTTCCCCTTTGGCTATTTCAAATGCTCAGATTTAATGTCTTGCACTTGAACTGATATTTGTAAGTCAGGTTAAAAAAATGTGTGCATGTTTAGTGGCTTTTGCTAGCAGCTTCTTTATTAGCAGCTCTGTATTTCTGGGCAGCTGGTGTATGCATGTTCTTAAGTCTAGAATGCTATCACAAGAGCAGTTTCTGAAATGGGTCTCCCTAGCTTGTAATGGTTAAATTTGAACTTAAAAGACTGGCTATAACTTGTGTGCCTAAAGTTGTTGGGCTTGTAACTGTAAAAACTAGGGACAGCAACTAATTTAGCAGTTACAATTACAGTTATTCTAGGTTGGTTGCATTGTATAGAGATTTATTTTAACCTGCCCTAAGGTTTAAATCTAAAATGCTGGCTGAGCTACCAGCCCTTGATGACTGGCAGAACACATGTAGTGTGATTCCTGTAGTCTGGAGAACTGTAGATCAGCTTATTTCAGTTTACAAAGGTGTTTCTGTTAAAATACCTGTCTAGCTATCATCAGAGCTAATCGACACCTCGGAGATCTAGGTTGCTCTGGTTAGTTGAGTAATGTGGCATTTTCTGCTGCGTACAGATATTGCCAATTAATGCTACTGTTACATAGGGCACAGTCTGAGCAATCAACCTATGTTATAGTAAACATTGGCTCCTCAAGACTCTCAAATGCTATGTGTACTTAGTGGCCTGCAGCTTTAACTTGTCTGTTTCTTTAGTCAGCCTCAAACATCAGGAACAATGTTGCTGTAAGCTTAATATATCTAAGCTCACATTCAAGATGTGCACAACCCTTCTTTATTTGAAGGGAAAAGGGGAACTCTGAAATGCTAGACGAGTACTGGCTGTTGACATTGCTTCTGTATGTTGTGTTTTGGTGACTGTGTCATTAGCTAGGTCATAGACTTTGTTCTGTCATTCAAAAGCAGTATGTATCTAAACTGTTGCAGTATTTAACTTTCTTACTTTTTTACTGTTAAAGCTCTGTTATATGTATGTGTATTTAACCTGTGATTGTTAATACGGATTTGGTACAAGTCATTGGTAGAAGAAATGAACACTGGTCCCATGGATACAACTTTTATTAAGGAAAAGCTGCTTTTTGTAGTAAAGATGCATATGTATGGAGTTGTAAAAATATTTATGTATTGCTTGGAGACTTGCTCAGTATGTATGCAGTGAACAGAAGCAGCATAACTGCCTGATCAACAGGTGATCTGAACAAACACCTTTTAACAGATTTCAATAAAATGATCAATTACGCAGAAATCCATGTGTATTGGGTTGATGTAGAGTATGATAGCAGTTCTGCTAAGGCTGAAGCTTATGAATTACTTGTATTTCAATAATACATTGTTTTCAAGTCCCTCTTACGAACAGAGCAGATGTCCAAATCCAGCAAAGTATAAATGAAAACAGACTGAGAATTTTACTTCAGAGCTCTCAAATTCTACTGTGAGGCATGAACCCCTGCATCAGGGCTGCTGGTGCTGCTGCTCCTGGCAGCAGTGTTCAGATTGTTCCGTCAGTATCCCTGCATGTCTTGGGTCCCATCATCTCATGATTACCTTCAGGGGCAAGTGCTGCAGATAAAACAGTATAGCTTGAAATTTTTGGTTATGGAGTGTACCCTATGTAGAGCAGTACAACATTTCATAAACAATCCAACATGTGCAGATTAAAATGCCTGAGAATGAATTAATGATAAACTAAATAGAAACAGCTCTTCTGCCCCAGGTAGCGGACATGTTCCTTTCATGTTGTCATTCAGATTGCATTGCGGAAAGCATGGCTTTACATGCATGTACATGTGATTACCTGTCCAAATAAGGATTTCACAATTGCAAATATCTGCAGCATATCTGAATCCTGAGAGTCAACACAGGCTGTCAACACAACCTTTAAATCTTTAAAATTGTTCTGCGTGAATGTGTCAGAACTGTTTAACAGTAATACTAGGTAAAAGAGGAGTGGGGAATCTTATCTTAGTCTATGCTTCTAACTTGAGGCTCTGTTAACTCTGTTCCCTTGTGTTCCGAGTGGTATGTGCATTCTATTTGCTTTTGACAATATTTTACAACCACTATTGTGATAACTTCTATATTCTCCACTTGCCTTCTATGTGTGTGGCTTGGTGAGTACAGAACTTAAATTATTTTCCCTTTCCCCTGACTTCTCATTGCAGGGCAGAGTTTGGCATATGGCAGACATGTAAAACATGACACATAAGATATGACAGCAGGGAGCATAGTCTCATCAAGAAATGTTTGTAATTAGACTCTTAAACTCTGGTCACTGTAATTAGAATAATTCTGGAGTGAGAGGATGTCTTGGTAACTATTTTGATAAATGCTCTGCAGAATGGCTTGCCTGCTCCGTTCCTTCTCAAGAGAGAGGCATGTTTGTAATGAGGTTATCTGGCATAGGTGGATAATTCAGGTTTCTAGTTCTAACCATCTGTGGTGTCTATGCTGTCCGATGCACACAGTCCATCTGGTTTCATGACTAATAAATATGTGCCATTGGATTTGCACCAGTGACCATTGTGAGCCTAAACTATTGAACGCTGTCAGTGCTGCTGCACAGCAGTCCAGAACAATGCTGGCACGAAGCTTTTTTGGGATGCCAAGGAAGTTGGCAACTTCTAGTTGATTTGTTTGATCCTTATGTCAGAAACTTGTGTGGCTCCTGATTGTTGTTCAGTAAGTTACAAATAGAAACAACATCTGTGGAGTTGTTTGGAAGATCTGGCTGAAATGCCTTGTCTTTAATTTCATGAAGCTCAGGACAAAGCAGATCCCATGGGTAGGGCAAGAAGCTTTCTTCCAGCCTACCAAATGGCACACTGCAACCTGATGTACAACAAAGAAGTTGGGTTTAACTTAAGAAAATGAGAAAGCTCGAAGTGTCTGTCTCCAGAGATCCATATCTGTGCTGAGTGGTGCTTCAAGCTACAGCTAAAGCTTGAAACCATTAGGTTGTGGACTGCACCCCTATGCAGAGCAGTAAAACATTTCATAAACAATCTAAAGGTTTGGCTGATGCTTTTTTTTGTGTGTGTCGTGTTCAGGGGAAGTTAAGGAGATAATTCATTGTTGTGTATTTGGTCCTGTGTTAAAACAAATGTACTTCACATGAAGTGAGCGTTAGAATGCATTTATGGTTTCTTAAGCTAGTTTAACTGTTGTCCTTTTGTGTTCGTTTTGGTTTTATTTTGTTTTGTTTTTTTTTGAAAGCCTTCCTTAGCCAAGTGCCCTTTATTTCAGGTGGTTCTCCTTTCTTGTTTCACTTTTTATTCAACAGTGAATGGAGGGTGAACTAATGTCTTTCCTAGCACTGAAGTATTTCAGGAAAAAGGCTTGCTAGTGTGTTCTGGATTAAATTATTTATTCAAGTTACAGCATACTTAATTGCTGTTCAAACCAAGTAGATGTTGTCACATGTATTGATCAGTGTGCAAGTCTTCTGAAAGTGCATTTAATTGCAGATGAGTTGCCTAGTCAGTCATGGAGCCTTCCGGGATTCCATAAAACAACAAAAGAAAGGGCAGGCTCTATTCAGTAAACCATGATAGCCAGATGCTTTATTTAGCTTGTGGCAATTTACAGGAAATGAGTTGGATTTTTGTTTTGGACTTCAACAAATAAAAAGCTACTCCCCTCAGAAAATTGGGACTAACACAGTTCAAATATGCAGGGTAGCCTAGATTTCAGATTATTTTGGAATGCTTCTCCATATGTTCTTTCATTCTGTGTTGATGTGGAGGGGGAAGGTGAAGAAAACAACCAAGTGTTCATCCATCAGTAGAGTTCTTACTCTGAATAAGTAATCTGTTTTACAGGTTGCAGGGAATGTTTCATGCAGCAGGCTGTTTGCTGTCTTCGAACAGAAAAATGATCCTTGGTTTATAGAGTTTTCATTAAGATTTCATAGCTAGGAAATTGTATTAAAAAAAACCTTGCCAATGCAAAACTATTTTTATATAGCTTCATGAGCGAACTGTTTAGTTTTAGTATCCTATGTCTGTACCTGAGGGTACATGAGGGTAGCATATATTTACTTGCATCTTAATTGAAAAATTAATCCAGTTAGGTCTATTTGTCATGTCACCTGGTGCTGCAAGACAGGAAAAATGCCTAATGAGAAACAGGGAAATCATTGATGTTAGCAGGAAGGCAACACATGAACTGGGACACAACCATGGATTAAGCCCAGTTTCATTCAAGGACTCTGTATATTAATGAGTCAGCTTCCTGTGATTTTGTCAGAATTGTTGCAAGCCTATGATAATTTTGTAGGTCTTCCCTGTAGTCCTTCATTGCTCACTGTGGTGGCTCAACAGCTGGGCTAATGTGAGAGTACTGTTTTCCAGGATTT